CAATCCATCTTGTTGAAGGTCTTCCTCTTTTTCATTGACCCTCCACTTTATCAAGCATGATATTCTTCTCCAGGGAATGGTCCTTTCTGACAACATGACCAAAGTAAGTGAGATGAAGTCTGGCCATTCTTGCTTCCAAGGAGCATTCTGGCTGCACTTGTTCCAGGACAGATATGTTAGTGCTTTCTTGCAGTCCATGATTCTTCCAGTATTCTTTACCAACACCACAAGTCAAAAGCATCAACTCTTCTTCAGTCTTCCTCATTCTTTGTCCAGCTTTCACATGCATGTGAGTTGAGTGAAAAATACCATGGATTGGGTTAGGTGCACCTTAGTCTTCAAGGAGACAGCTTTGCTCTTCAGCAGTTTTCCAGAGGTCTTTTGCAGCAGATTTTCCCAGTCCAATATGTTATTTAATTTCTTGACTGCTCTTTCCAATTGGTGTTGATTGTGGAAACAAGTAACATGAAATCTTTGACAACTTCTATCTTTTCCCTGTTTATCATGATGCTGCTTATTGGTCCAACTGTGAGGATTTTCGTTTTCCTTATGTTGAGATGTAATCCACACTGCAGACTGTAGTCTTCAACATTCATCAGTAATTATTTCACGTCATCCTCACTCTCTGCAAGCAAAATTGTGTCATCTGCATATATCAGGTTGTTAATGAGTCTTACTCCAATCTTGATGCCACATTCTTCTTTACATAGTCCAGCGAGAATTCTCAAATTATTTGCTCAGCATACAGATTGAATAAGTATGGTGAAAGGATACAACCCTGACATACTCCTCCCAGATTTTAAACATGCAGTATTCCCTTGTTCTGACCTAATGAGAGCCTTCTGGACTACGTACAGGTTTCTCATGCGCACAATTAAGTGTTCTGGAATTCCATTCTTCTCAATGTTATCCATAATTTGTTATGATCCATCCACACAATCGAATGCTTTTGCATAGTGAATAAAACACAAGTAAACATCTTTCTGATGTTCTTTGCTTTCTGCCAAGATCCATCTCACATCAGCAATCCCTCTTTCTATGTCCTCTTCTGAATCCAGCTTGCATTTTTGGAAGATCTCTGTCAATATACTACTGCAACTATTTTTGAATTATCTTCAGCAAGAATTTACTTGCGTGTGATATTAATGATATTGTTCAAGAATTTCCACATTCAGTGGGATCACATTTATTTGGAATGGGATCTTTTCCAGTCACTTGGCCAGGTAGCTGTCTTCCAAATCTCTTGGCATAGACATGTAAGTGCTTCCAGTGCAACATCCATTTATTGAAACATTTCAATGGGTATTCCATCAATTCCTGAAGCCTTGTTTTTCAGCAATTCTTTCAATGCAGGGTCGACTTCTAACTTCATTATCATCAGTTCTTGATCATATGCCACCTCCTGAAATGGATGAACATTGATCAATTCTTTTTGGTACAGTGAGTCTGTGTATTCCTTCCCCCTTCTTGTGATGTTTCCTACATCAGTCAATATTTTGCCCATAGAATCTTTCAGTATTGCAACTTGAGGCGTGAATTTTTTCTTCAGTCCTTTCAGCTGGAGAAATGCCAAGCATATTCTTCCCTTTTGGTTTCCTAACTCCAGGTGTTTGCACAATTCCTTATAATAATTGACTTTGTTTTCTCAAGCTGCTCTTTGAAATCTTCTGTACAGCTCTTTTGTCTTGTCATTTCTTCCATTTGCTTTAGCTACTCTCCATCTAGGAACTTTGGTGGTGTAGTGCCTAAGGCATTTGACTGCTAACCAGAAGGCTAGCATTTCAAACTCACCAGCCACTCCTTGGAAGGAAGACTGGGCAATCTACTTCCCTAGAGATACAGCTTCAGAAACATAAGGAGGGGTCGCTATGAGTTGGAACCAACTCAATGGCAGTGAGTTTGGTTTTTTGGTTCACTCTCCATTCAAGAGCACATTACAGAGTTTCTTCTGATATCTATTTTGCTTTCTTCATGGATGTTCTGGATGGCATCCCACAATTCATCTGGTTTTCAGTCACTGGTGTTCAATGAATCAAATCTTTTCTTTAGATGGTCTCTGAATTCAGGAGGGATATAATCGAGGTTGTTATTTTGGCTCTTGTGGTCATGTTTTAATTGTCTTCAGCTTCAACTTGAGCTTGCATATGAGCCGTTAATGGTCTGTTTCATACTCAGTTCCTGGCTTTGTTTTGGCTGAAGATATTGAGCTTCTCCATCACCTCTTTCCACAAATGTAGGCGATCTGATTCCTGTGTATTCCATCTGGCGAAGTCCACGTGTGCTATTTATGTTGCTGAAAAAAGGTATCTGCAATGAATATGTCATTGGTCTTGCAAAATTCTATTATGCGATCTCCAGCATCGTTACTATCACCGAGGCCATGTTTTCCAACTGCCAGTGACTCTTCTTTGTTTCCAACTTTTGCACTGCAATCACCAGTAATAATTAGCACATCTTGATTGCATGTTTAGTCAATTTCAGACTGCAGTAAGTGTGCGTGATGCAACCGGCTCTTGGGCAGAACCGCAACACCACCTGGAAGAACTTCAGGTCAATTTACCCAATCCCAAATTACTTGAATGTGACTCATCATGATAAGTCGAGAAAGGATTTATTTATTTTTTTTTTAGAAAGCAAATCTTTACAGATACTTTACAGTAGCTGAAGATATGGACAAAAGAGAGTAAGAAATTAGTATCTTTAAATGTTGTTGTTATGTGCCGTCGAGTCGGACCTGACTCATAGCAACCCTTCCTTGGGTTTCCAAGGCAGTATCAGTATGAAAGTAAATTGCCCAACCTTCCTTCCAAGGAGTGGCTGGTGGGTTTGAACCGCCAGACTTCTGGTTAATAATCAAGTGCCTTAGGCACTATACTACCAATGGGAAAGGGATATACATGATTATTGGAACTGATTGGTATACTATACTATTTCTTCTCTTTCCATTTAAATTATTCAATAAATACTGAGTACTTATTTTTTATTAGGCATTACATTAGGTGCCAGGCATACAGTTAAGAACAAGATGGACAAGGTCCTGCTGTCAAAAAGCTTCATTTCTAGAGAATAAAAGCCAAGTATTTGTAAATAAACAAACTAGAAATTCTGATTATGAAAACCGTAATGAAAGCAATAGAAACTTGCTGTAGAATAGAGTAATTGAGGTAGGAGTGATAACTTTAGATGGGGAGGAAAGGGAGTGTCACAGAATGCTTTTTCTGAAGAGGTGACATCTGAGCAAAGACCTAAGGACATGATGCTGCCAGCTGCTGGAAGACCATTCAAGCCAGAGAGCTCTGTAAGTGCAAAAACTTTGAGGTAGAAAAGAGGTTGGCTAGTAATCAAGAAACAGGCTAATGTACTAAAGCTTGTTAAGTAAACAAGTGGAAGAATGATCTCTAATGAAGCCAGAGAGAGAGGCCAAGATGGCAGATGCTATTTCCCAATATACATGCTTCCTTCTATTGCATGTTACATGGAGGAAGTGTCCAGTTTAAAATTCTATCTTTGATCAGACCACTTTGCGATTCACTGCTTTATTCCTTTCTCTTTAATCACTAATTTGCCCTGCCTCAAGGCTTCCTTTGATCTGAATTCTATCTTGCAACCAAAAAAATCAAACTCAATGCCATGGAATCAATTCCGATTCAGCAATCCTATAGGGCAGAGTAGAAATGCGTCATAGGGTTTCCATGTCTAAATTTTTAGGGATGCAGACTGCCTCAACTTCTTCCCACGTAAAGGGCTGGTGGGTTCAGAGAACTGACCACGACCTCTTAGTTAGCAGCCAATGGTTTTAACCACTGCCCCACCAGCTCCTAAAGCTTGCAGCAGAGCCTGCCTACTATATTTCCCACTTAAGTAAAAATTAAAAACTGCCAGAACAGTGAGAGCAAAGTTTATCTGACCAGAAAAGCAGAGTTCAGAAATTTATTTTTAAAATGGCAAACAGATTTAAATAGCAATTCGCTACTCTGAAGAACAATGGTTTTTAAAGTTTGATTATTCTGGTTTTTGTTTGTTGTTGTTGTTATTTGCCGTCGAGTCGGAGATGGTCTAAATTTTACAGTACGTACCTGAACCATATTACTAAAACAGAGCAGATTATACATATAAAAGTTAAATAATTGTTATTAATAAGATATTGAAGATGAAAGTCATATTGCAGATTGCTTTGGACGATCTGAGTTTCCAACTCTCAGACTGGCAGTTTAGGTAATTTTTGCCTTGTGAGTTTATTATAGATAGTCCCCCCATTCTTGCTTCAGGCTTTGTGACTATTTCATAGTTTTGTTTTACTCCATGGTTTTCAAAGGCCACACCCGATGTAGTCTTGTGCAGTTTAGCAACTGCAGCGAAGAGAAAAAGGAGAAAAATCTGCGATACGCGGATTACAAATCTCTTGTCCGTTTCCCATACTGAGAATTACTCAGGTATGACCAAAACGCCTAACATTATACTACATCAACTGTCTGTATCCTCTTTCTGCATAAAAAAAGAAATGGCAACAAACTTTTATTTCATCTCTCTTTTTTTTTTTCTCTCTCTCTTCCAATTCCTTACCTTCCTTCACTTTCTTCCTCTGGCACTTTCTCACAATCTCCCGGTGTCTCAACTGCCTAGTTACCCCCAGTATGCCTGCTGAGCTGCGGAAGTAAAAGTAGTAGTAGTAAAAAGCGCGACCGGGCCGGGCCTCCTTTTGCTTTGCGGCGCGGCCGTAAAGCGTCGTCACGCACCGGTGACGTTACGGGACTTGGATCATTGCTCCCTCGCTCGCTGGTTTTGGGACTATCAGCGTCTGGCAGTGGCTTGATTTCTCTCGTCGCACCGGAAGAGAAGTTGTGTTTATTAGTTAGACGTTCCAATTCCTTCTCAGAAACAGGAGGGTGGCCAGGTCCTAGTACCCACTAGATGGTTGGGGCCCGAGATCGTGGGGCGTGCCAAGGCTGCGGCCCATGCTAAGAGCGGCCTAACCCCGCGCCGCGTTCCACGGGGTGCTGATGGCCGGACGCATTCTGGAAAAAGCTTTAGCCACCGTGTCTCTCTCAGTGGCCTTGGCCTGTGTGAGTGTCAGGTCCTTGGCCTGCCCTAGCATTCCAGCATACAGGTATTCCTGCTTCTAGTGCTGGCTCCTCCTCTCGAGACCTTGGGTTTGGGGGTGGGAACCAGCTTCCTTCCAGTCAGGTAGGATCTTAAGGCTTTGCTTTGCGTTCTGGATATGTATGGACAGATGGCACATTTTGAAAGAGATCCCAAATGTTTTATCCGCCTTTTAAGGGAAACTAGGGGCTTGGACCTTTCTTAATTTCTGATACTGAAAACTGTCCCCATCTGGGAGGCACCAAGACTGGGCAATCTCCTTCTTAAAGATGACCGCCTCGGAAACCCCAATGGAGGTCTCTCTGAGTCGGAATCGACTCGACTGAAGTGGGTTTTTTTTTTTGGTTTTATGAGTCACCAGCATTATTGTCTCTAGAGTTTAACTAACACCTGTTTGCGTGTGATGTCCTGTGGTATTTTTCTTTCTGTTTAATATTTAAACCATTTTAAAATTAAGTTTTATACTCGAACAAAGTTAAATATGAACAGTGTAAACGCTGTGAAATAGGAAGTGAAAGTCGCATTTTTACTCTCTACTTCTGTTTTCCAGAATAGATAATATGTTTGTACCTTGTTTTCTAGACTTGTCGACTCATTTAGGGATTTATGGTTTATCACACTACCTCTGTCATTCTCCAGTTTTTAATTTTTAGTCCACTATGCAGTAAACATTATGTCCTCTCTGGAAATCATTAATGCTGTTTTTGATAGATGGCACCAGAACAATTTAAAGCTTTTTGGCAATTGTTTTTTATTTTTATAATGCTGAGAACTCTAGGTGAAGTGAGGTATACTCCAAAACCATTAACTGTTGTGGCTGTGGAGAAAAAGCCAAAAGTTAAGCAAGCATGTATTAAGTGCCTGGCATCTTGTATTTCAAGGCACCCTTGGAGAGACAAATGAAACCTATCATAAAAAATTTTACCATTCTAGAATAATACTGGCTAATCCAGAAAGTGATACTTTTGCAGTTGGTGTTACTGATATGAGTAGAAAATTGCAAATGTCTATTTTCTGTAAAAAGTGGTAGTATGTAAATATGTAGTGAGTACTTCCAAATTTTCCAACAGGATTTATCAGTGATGTGTGTGGAGAATGAAATAGGAGCAAATGCAGGTCCCTACCTGGTACGCAGTCAGGCCAAAACAGTTTACACACCGAGTGATTAAGAGGAGAGAAAATTATTTGTTGCAAAGTGGCAATGAAGGGAGGCAGGGGTACCTGTACCCAGATCTGACTTCCCGAAACTCCATGGAATTACAGTTTTGTAGGTTTCAGAAGAGAGGGTTATACGTATTCATAAAAATTTCAGGAATTTGGACATGAGATGGTTGACAATTGGCTGAAATTTCCATTACCTCGATTTAAAGGACTGTAGAGTTTTGATCCAGTGTGCTGGTGTATCGGATGAGTCATACCGGCTTCCTGTCATCAGCTATCGGTGCTTAGGCAGAGGGGAGAATGTTAGTTCCCAGTAACTTTGTTCCTCTCTGTCCCACAGTGCATGTCTGTGGCCCAGAGTTAATTTTCAAGTTGTTGTCTAAGACACATTAATGCGTTTATCACCTGTGCCTAAGGAAATAGAAGTAAATAATTTTTTTTTCTGTTCCATTCAGTTCTTAAGGAACTGAGCTTATTGTGTTTACTCATCTGCTCCAACTGGGGTCCTATGTGTTTACTCATCTGTCTCCAACTGGGGTCCTATTAGTCTTAACCAGGGTTGTGAAATAGTTGAGGGTAATTACATTTACTTATTTATTCCCAACTGGGGTCCTATCTGTTCTAATTACCTGCCTTAACCTGAGTGGGGGAAATAGTTTTGATTTTACTCAGTTTCAAGAACATTATATGCTTTATTACCGTGAATACATACCAACATATATGTGTGAACCAAAAATGAAGTAGAGATTGTGTGTCATGGTCTTAAGAACCTAGACTTTAGAGCCAGCCTTGGCTGTATTAGAATCTTCATTCTGCTGTATCAATTGTGTGAGCTTGTTAAAGTTACTTAAGCCCTTCTTTCTTGCTAGTCTTTATCATATTTTATCATTAAGGCTACACTAATCATACTCGGAAGGAAGGTTGGGCAATCCTACTTCCGTAGTGATACTGCCTCGAAAACCCAAGGAGGGGTCGCTATGAGTCGGGGACGACTCGACGGCACATAACAACAACAACAATCATAATATTTGGAGCTTTCCTTCTTTTCCTATGATTAAAATAGTCTATTAAGTAATGTTGGAATTACCTGTTTTTTAAAAGTTAGGTAAAACTCAGCTGGAATTCTATTAGTGTTTGAAAGTTCAGTGGTACTTTAATTGCTTTTCCCAACTTTTATTTCTCTTCAAGTTTTCTACTTTTGGAGGCAGTTTTGCTTACTTTGGTAATTTATATTTTGCTAGATAGTCATTCCATTTGACCTTTCAATTTTATTATCATAGTTGCATTTGTTGTTTTGTTAATTCACTTGTGGGAGTTAATTCAGGAGGAGTCCTTATGAGTCGATCTGACTCAATGGCAGTGGGTCTTTTTAAGACTTGTTTTTAAACTTTGTTAGGTTGAGTTTTGAGTAGCCTTTTTTTCTGGTTAGTGCTAAATTAGTCCTGCTTCTAAGATGAAGCCTTTCTGGTATCTCTGCTGAATTCCTGGAGTGATTAATGAGGTCTATTAAGTCTGGTTGGTTAGAAATTTGATTTCTCTCATCATTAGGTAAACTCCAGTAATTGTTTAGCTCTATGGCTACCCTTAGGATCTCTGGTAGCATGGTGCCTTAGGCATTTGACTGCTAACCAGAAGGCTGGCAGTTCAAACCCACCAACCACTCCTTGGAAGGAAGATTGGGCAATCTACTTCCATAGCGATACTGCCTCGGAAACCCACAGAGAGGTCGCTGTGAGTCTAATCCGACTCGACGGCAGTGAGTTTTTTTCTTATAGTAGCTATTCTTTCCGTGGTATTTGTTCTTTCTCAAGTAATTGTTTTTCTGCCATGGTTGTCCTTTGGTCAGCCTCTTGGAATTTGGTCTTGCGTGTCTGCAACTTAGTATTTGAGAAAAAATTCAAAAATTCTTTTTTTTTTTTTTTAATTTTTTTTTGTATTTTGGGTGAAAGTTTACAGAGCAAATTCATTTTCCATACAGCAGTTCACATACACTTTGTCTCCTGACATTGACCCCAATTTCCCACAGTTCAACAGCTCTCTTCCCACTTCCTCCCCATAGTTATCTCTTCCCTGTGTCCTTCCCTCCCATGTATGCTTGCCCCCTGAGTCGTCTCCCTGTGCATACACAGCCCTTCTATTCTCCCATGATTGATCCATCCAAGGAGTGTATATGCCTAATGTAAATGTCCAGCTCATATGCCTGTCCTTTGTTTGGTTGGAAGCCACAAGAGTGGGTTCAATTCTAGACCTGGAGGGCAGCTAGGAGGGGCCATAGTCTTAGTGGTTCCACCAGGCTCTATCAGACCAGAAAACTTGGTCCCTTTTTTTTTCCCAATGATTTTGAGTTTTATACCACATTGTTCTCCTATTCTATCCAGGATCTCCTACATAAATCCCCCTCCGAGTGGTTGACAGTGGCAGCAGGGTACCATGTAGTTCTTCTGGTCCCACAGTCATGTAGGCTGAGAATCTCATGGTGTACTAGTCCCTTGGACTAATTTTTTCCATACATCATTGGTTTTCTTCGTTCTTCTTTGGTCTGGATGAGGAGAGATGCCTTGCTTTTAAGATCCCAGTCACTATTTGCCAAAGTAGGGTGTGGAACAATGAAAAAATGCAAAAGTTCTCGGAAACAAAAACACAGATTCTTCTCTTCACAGTTTCCTTCCTTTAGGAAGCATAAACTGAAATTGTTTCAGTAGTCCTGAACTCTGATCTCTGACTTCCTCAGTTTAGTAAGATCACTAGATCTTTTTTTGCTGCTCTTGTTATTTTCCAGAATGTGCCATTAGGTAATAGGTCAGATAATCATGGACTCGTCTCATTTCCCTTCTGTCAGGGATCACACAGTCCTGTGCTGCTTTTTGTCCATCATCTGAAAAGAGTTACATATTCTGTTCACTTTTATAGTTATGTATGGAGAAGGACTAGTGTGATACTAGTTAACTCTGTAATGGACGAAAATGGAAGCCAATGCGTACTTTTAAAAATGTATTTCTTCATGAGCTCTGGTGATGTAGTGCCTAAGGCATTTGACTGTTAACTAGAAGGCTGGCGATTCAAATCCATCAGCCACTCCTTGGATTGGGCAATCTACTTCCGTAATGATGATGTTGTTGTTATATGCTGTCCAGTCGGACCTGACTCATAGCGACCCCTCCTTGGGTTGCCAAGGCAGTATCACTATGGAAGTAGATTGCCCCATCTTCCTTCTGAGGACTGGCTGGTGGGTTTGAACCACCAGCCTTCTGGTTAGCAGTCAAGTGCCTTAGGTACTATGCTACCACAGCTCCCTCCGTAATGATACTGCCTTGGAAACCCAAGGAGGGTTTGCTATGAGTTGGATCCAACTTGATGGGAGTGAGTTTGGTTTGGTTTGGAGTTTTAGCAGCCTTCTTTTACATTTGTTTTGTGGTTGAGTTTGAGTTGCATAACAAACTTTCTCATTCTAAAACACAAAAGTAAACATACAGCCTCTTTTCTCAACTGAAATAAATTCAGTGAGTGGATTCCAATGAATAAAATTGAATTATATTTAGAAAATTTTTATGTTTGGAAGTAATTTCTTCCAGATTTTGGAACTTTATACAAAATAGACATCAAATTTGAATTTTCTGATTTTTAAAAGTCTTTGAAATTGAAAAATGTATTTTTGGTTCCTTGAACTAAATTTTTTAGCTTTTTTTTTTTTTTTTT